CGCCTACCAGCTCACGAGCAAAGTCTCGAAAGCCCAACCGTATCGAGCGCACCGCTATGTCCTGGCTTCTGCTAAAGTCATATTGGTCTGCCTGAACCCGTGCTAGGCATGCAACGCTTCGAGCTATGACTCGCATCTGATTYGGGAGATCGGGCTGGGCGGCTAATTGTGCCTCTATATTCTTCACTTCCTCTAAGGCCTCTGCTGCCTCTGCTGCCTCATCAATTCTCCTCTTCTTCTCCAGCATCACCGCTAATTTCCATTCCATCCTCTTCTCGTCTTCCAACGCTTGACGTTTCAGAGGGTCTTTCTCTGCCTCCCAAGCCTTCATGGCGGCTTCTTGCTGATCCTGCGGGATGTACATACTAACCTCTTCCTCTTCTCCCACATTCAGGTTGACAACCCATTCAGATATCCTCTTCTCTAGGTCTCCACCGGTATTACTACTGGGCTGCCCACTACTCCTTTGCAGTGGCGGTCCTTCCTCTTCTTCATCCACCTCCTTCAGCTTCTCTTCTTCTTCCTTTTTCAACCTCTCTTTTTCTTTGGCCATTTCTTCCTCTATCTTCTTCAGTTTGGCCGCCTGCTCCTCCTTCAAGGCCTTCTTCTTGGCCTCCTTCTTCTCCTTCTTCTCCTGCAGAATGGCGGCCATCTTCTCCTCCTCCTCCTTCGTGTAGGGGGTGGTGGAAGTCCCACCGCGAGTGGACCCTACTTTACACGTGAGAGTGGGCCAAAAGCCCAGAGGAAAGAGGAGACGCCAGAGGGTCCCCCAGAGGGAGAACCCCGCAAGTAGCCCATACATCGGATAGTCATCCATCGTGGTGTTGGTGCACGACAGGGGTCCCACTCCTCACCACGTAGACCTACCCGRAYACMCTGACCTACTGACTGACTCCCTAAGGGCCACAGACAACTAACCCAAGACTACTCTAAGGCTGTCACTACAGAACCGAAAGCTGATCAGGAGGTATTTTAGAAGATCCYCCAACTTCGCAAGAATTCTTTAACGTCGCAGACAGGACGACGCGATCAGCTTGGTTCCTCTGGCGATTTCAGCCCACAACTCAGCCCGTCCAGCCTACTGTGCCACACCGAGCAGCCCGCCGGTCTGTACCGGTCCTTGGAGGGGTTCGTATCCCTCGGGACAGTCGAGTCGTCAGACACAGATCATCAGCCTTACTAGGTCCGGTAGGGGAGTGGCTCAACCAGGCCTCAACACTTAAAGACGACCTTCGTTTCGGCCTACGGCTCGGAGTTCAGACCCTCCACACTGAACTCAGTAGACCTGCTGGACAGTACCGGTCATTGGGCTAGACGAGTTGTTTAATGAGCGCTCGCCGCTCATGCCCAGGTCTCGAAGTATCAGAGTAGAGCTTAGGTCCTACTATGCCCGTGCAGGTTTGGCAGCAAGGCCCTATCCTTCATCCACAGAGTCCTACTACCTAAGACAGAAGAGACTCAATGCAGAAAGAGTAGACAGACAACTCAGCAAGTACCGTGGGGTAAGTGCACATCCACAGGGTAAGGGGAAAGGCTGAAGGGTCAACGAGATATCACCAATTCCAGCTTGGTCAAAATCTTGGGCAGCAGCTCCGGTCAACGCCTTGGTCAACGCTGAGTCAACGTGGTCAACACCCGTGGTCAACGCCTGGTCAACCCTCGGTCAACCCTCTGGTCAACCCTCTGGTCAATGGTCTGGTCAACGCCCGGTCAACCCTCAACCTCGGCTATGGCTGCCGGCACCATCACCTTTGTCACCCTCGCCGTCTTCTTCCCCTTCCTTCACTTTCTTTCTTCTTCTCCTTCGCTGTATATATATATATATATATATATATATATATATATATTTTTATACACCCCCGGCTATGTCTGTCTTCTTCTTCGTTCTCCTCCTTCCACACTTCTTCTTCTCTCTCCTCCGGTACTCTGTATTGATACTCTGCGGCTATGGACGCCGTCTTCCTCTTCCACCGGACTCCACCGCTCAACTCATAGGTATGTGACAACCAATCT